TGAAAGATGAGATGAAGTCTCTCATTTCAAACCAGACATGGGAACTAGCTGAGTTACCCATGGGTAAGAAGGTACTCCACAACAAATGGGTGTACCGGGTGAAAGAGGAGCAGGATGGTTTCAGAAGATATAAAACCCGATATTTTCTCTCCCGTGGTAAAGCTAAATACTATCAGGATAGTGATGAGTATTGTAGCAATTGAAGATCTTCATCTCGAGCAGTTGGACGTGAAGACGACATTTCTTCACGGAGATCTAGAAGAGGAGATATACATGCACCAGCCAGAAGGTTTCTCAGAAGAAAAGAAGAAGAACCTGGTGTGAAGACTCAAGAAAAGCTTGTATGGCCTGAAACAAGCCCCAAGACAGTGGTACAGAAAGTTTGACGATTTTATGCACAAGGAAGGTTTTCAGAAGTGCAACGCCGACCACTGTTTCTACTTCAAAAGATATCGGTCCAGCTATATCATCCTACTGTTATATGTTGATGATATGTTGGTTGCAGGTGCAGATATGGAGGATATTAGGAGTTTGAAGCAGCAGCTGTCAAAGGAGTTTGACATGAAGGACTTGGGTCCAGCAAAGAAGATCCTTGGAATGCAAATCACGAGAGATAATAAGAGAGGTCTCTTGCAGTTATCTCAGACGGAGTACATCAACCGTGTTTTGCAAAGATTCAACATGAGCGACGCCAAGCCAGTGAGCACACCCTTGGCCAGCCATTTTCGTCTATCAAAGGATCGATCTCCTCAGTCAGAAGAAGAGAAAGAGAGTATGGCTAAGGTCCCTTACGCCTCAGCTATCAGAAGTTTGATGTACGCAATGGTCTGTACGAGACCAGACATTGGCCATGCAGTGGGAATGGTCAGCCGGTTTATGTCGAATCCAGGAAAAGCTCATTGGGAAGCAGTCAAGTGGATTTTGAGGTACCTACGAGGCACCACACAGAAGTATTTGCACTTTGGTAAGGGAGAGGTAGAAGTGCAAGGGTACGTAGATGCAGACTTTGGCGGTGAAGTCGATCACCGAAGAAGTACCACCGGCTATGTATTCACTGTCGGAACTACAACTATTAGTTGGATGTCACAGATACAGAAGATTGTTACTCTGTCCACTACAGAAGCTGAGTATGTTGCAGTGACTGAATCCAGTAAAGAGATGATATGGCTTCAGGGATTGTTAACAGAGCTGAGATTCAAACAGGAGAAGAATGTTCTGCACAGCGATAGCCAGAGTGCGATTCACTTGGCTAAGAATTCCACATTTCATTCTAGAACGAAGCATATTGCACTTCGATACCACTTTATCAGATCCCTGTTAGAAGATGACATGTTAAAACTTGAACAGATTCCAGGAAGTAAGAATCCAGCAGACATGTTAACAAAGACAGTGACCATTCAAAAACTGGAGTTGTGCGCAGCTTCAGTTGGCATTCATACATAGATGATGAGGGCGGAGCCACACAGGAGGAGGAGCTTGTTGAGATAGCCTACTGACGGCGGTTTGGTCTCCAAGTAGGAGATTGTTAGTTTGGGTATAGACCAAACTCACCTCCGCAGGCAAGCTTTGGGGGACGATCGTCAGGCGATCTCGACGAAACCAACAGGCGAGATTTGAAGGCGAGAAGCTTCAGGTGAAGTTGGACGAACTCGAGCAGGCGAGGTCGAGTTGGCGAACTCCAGGCGGGCTCGCGACAAGTTGCAGGTGAGATTGGAGATCTTCTTGCAGGCGAGTTCGACAAGTGACAGGCGAGCTCGAGCTCCTCGCAAGCGAGATCGTTGACAGGCGACGACAGCCTATCGCCAGCTATCCTAGGGTTTCCCTATAAAAGGAAAACCCTGTGCCCTAGCCCCAGTGCTTTTTCTCCCCTCTCTCTTTTGCGATCTAAACCCTAGGCGGCGGCTCATCCTCTCCAGCGGTCTCTCTCTCTCTATTCTCCTGTTCTCACGTGATTGGGAAATGAATTTAAAAGGAGGAAATTTATTATGGTGAAAATTGAGAGGGGTATTAAAGAAGAGGGGAATCTTTACTGTAGCTACAGTGAAGATTGTATTTATTGAGGAATCTCAAGTTTGAGATTCACTCTTGAATTATAATTTCTTGTTAGAATAATAAGAACTTTACTGTGTGGCTCCCGAGGACGTAGGCAGTTGTCGAACCTCGTTAAATCTTGGTGTACTTTTTCTATTCTGCGTTTCTGCTGTCTTAGGGGTTGTGTAGCCCCGGCGGGTAAATTCCTAACACTTGTCACGCGGTTGGACAGTTCTTCCATGTCCAATGCATGCGGTCGATGCTCCCAAGCATACTAGGAAAACCTCGTTGTGAACCTTCCTCCAGCAGGCGTGCAACGTATTCATTAGTCAGTGAACGAATGTATTCCTCCCCAAAGATGTTGATAATTGATCGAACGAACCTCTTCACGCTCTCAAGTGACGTACTTTTACCGATCCGAACGTAGTCGTCAACGGTGTCAGCGGATGCTCCATATGCGAGCATCCGCATAGCTGCAGTAATCTTTTGAAGGCTAGATAGTCCCAACTTTTCAACACCGTTCCTATTTTGTACGAAGTACTTGTCATGTTCGACGACTGCGTCATGGATTCGAAGGAATAACGAACGCGTCATTCTGAATCTTCGACGAAAATAATGAAGAGGATAGGTTGGGGCGTCAGCAAAATAATCTTGGAACAACCGATTGTGGCCTTCCAGTTGGTTTCGATGGAGCACGATACGTCTTTTGTGTTGAACTGTAGTTGAACCTTCTCTTCTTCTTCTTCCTCGACGATAGCAGCTCCCATAAGAAAGAATGTATTCATCATTTCATCATCGCTAGAGCTAGATGAGCTAGACATTTTGTTCTATGAGACGATGGGTTGAGGTAAGAAGGCATCGAATTTTATAGGAATCAGTCGGTTGACGGTCAAAGTTTGCGATATCTCGAACTTCGTGCCCAACCTCGAAGACCGCGAGCTACCTCGAAGACAGTGTGCATTCTCTCGAAGACTGTGGATTACCTCGAAGATCGTGTGCGCTCCCTCGAAGGCCGTATCCAACGGTTAGAAATAAAATAAAAGAGGTTTAAATATAATTAAAAGTAATGGGTAAAAAAATTAAAATAGAAGAGGGGTTTCTTTGATATTGTTGGAGCTCGTAACTAGGAGCTTGTTGGAGCTCCATAAAATAAGGAGGACCACCCAATGCTTATTTTTTATAATTTTTTATTCCAAAATGCTTGAGAGCTATTGAGAGCTTGCTGACTAGGACTCCCAACTGGGAGCTTGCTCGACTTGCTCTAATAATGGAAAATCAAGGCGAGTGTGTTGGAGGGCCCTACCCCGTACTGCGAAAGCAAGCTGGTTCCTCCAACCCACAGGAAGAAATTTTCAAAATAGTTCCAAACCAATTTGTTTTTTTAAAATTGACCCTCTTACATTTTTTAATTGAAATAGACTCACTTTCTGGTGACGTCAGCATCGTGGCCAGAAAGTGGGTCTATTTTTTTAAACGTCTTCCTAATTAGTCGTGGTTGCCAACCCCGATTAATTTGGACCCCAGTTGTAATTTGCCAGCCAAATTAGTCGGGGTTCGAAACCCCGACTAATTAACCCACGCTTAAAATGGTCGAGATTGGGAACCCCAACCATTTCGAAATCCTAATTTGAAATGCTTGGCATTTCTAACCCTGACTATTTTGTAGACTTCTTCCAGCCCAAACTCAGCTAGAAAATCACACCCCTGCTAATACATAAACCACTACAAATAGAGTTCAAACCTAAGAAATTCATTTTTGAGAGAAAACCCTAGATCCACATGTTAAAAGAGGAGAGAAGGAAGAGGAATTACCTTGTAGATCTTTCACGATAAAATTGGGCCGAAAATAGGGTTGAAATCCGAGATCAAGGGTTTGGGGGAGGAAGAGCGACAGTTTTGAGGAGGCGGCGGCTGGGAACGAAGGGTAGAGGGGGGAGAAGAGTTTGGGGGGTTTATATAGGGGGAGCGACAGTTTTGAGGAGGCGGCGGCTGGGAACGAAGGGTAGAGGGGGGAGAAGAGTTTGGGGGTTTATATAGGGGGCGGGACCCAGCACAAAATAGTCGGGGTTGGCAACCCCGACTATTTTGTGCCTTAGCGATTTTTCAACTCAGTCGACAGAGTGGGCAAAAGGCTCTGCTAAATGGTTGGGGTTAGGAACCCCGACCATTTCAAATTAGAATTTCGAAATGGTCGGGATTCTCAACCCTGATTATTTTAAACGTGAGCTAAATTAATCGGGGTTTCGAACCCCGACTAATTTGGTTGGCAAATTACAACCAGGGTCCAAATTAGTCGGGATTGCC